CAAAAAGTCACTGACTTATATATAATTATATATATATATAAATAATATATATTGATATAATATATAATTAAATATTTATATAATTTATATAAATAATAAGTAATAAAAGAAATGAGCATTTAATAATGTAAATAAATATTTTATTCAGAATAATTGTATTATTTTTCTATCAAATACTTTCTATGTAATCCAGAAACTTTTAAATATTTATTAAAACGGTTTTTTCAAAAGGTTGATTTTATGTAAATTCCCTTTTTAAGTGGGAAGAAAGGGTACTTAGAAAGACTAAAATATATATACTACTATATATTCGCAGCAGGTTTCCTGAAAACATGAAATTTCTATCTCTCAAAATAAAAACTTTTGTGAGTCCCTTAAAACCTCAATTTTTGAATTTTAACCCGTTATTGCGTGTCTTTCCCATCAAAAAGTGGGATTTTCATATATTCCTTAAAACGGTTTTTTCTTACAGGTCAATTTTAATAAAACTCCTTTTTATGATAGAAGCAAGAGAATTTAGAGAAGGATGTCTGAGACAAAAATGGTTATCTAGTTATTTGTAGCAAATTTGCTAAACACATGAAAGTTGTATCCCTTCAAATAAAATTTTTTAATAACTCTTTAAAACCTTATTTTTTGAATTTTAACCAATTATTGTCTGGGATTCAGATATATAAGGTAAAAAGTGGTTGCAAATTTGAGCTCAGCAAACTCATATTAATCTAATACCATCGATAAATTATTATTATTAATTTTTGCAGAGTGTGATAAATGGTTTATTAATTAGTTTATAATTGAATTTATAATTGAAATTGACAAATCGAAGATATAACGTTTAAGAACCATTTTTACTTCCAAATTCGGTTCATTGAGGGGAAGTACGACAATCAGAAAACGAACAATTAGTTCGCGAGTGAGGCTTTCGATTGTTTGTGAAATGTTATGCCACAGTGACGAGTCTAATCCAACAGCGGTAATCGCTGATATAAGCATTACGAGGCTTTTTTTTATATTATTGTTAATCAAATTATACTAAATAAAGTAATAACTTACATTGTTAAAGATAGTCGAAAAGGACTTACTTATTACTTATGAAATTATTATTGTATTTTATAGAATTAATGTATTAATATTTGTATATTACTGTAACTAATTATATACAATATAATTCAACATTTAGTTCAACATGATTAAATAAAATTATTTTTCGTCGTCTAAATATATTTTAATTTTAATTAATATGTAAAACGCTTTTGCGGGGCCATTGTGATTGCGATATTGTCAGAGGTCACTGACGCCTAATTTCTCCAATGTTCCACAATAACAACAATCACAAACAGTTTCAAATCTTAATTTTATATACTTTAAATATATGATATTCGATTAGATTTTACATTTATTACGAAATACTATTATTATAACACTTCCAAACATATAAACTACTGAAACTCATATTTGGGTACTTAACTCAACTGTATCTAACTCAACAAATTCCTTAAAATAGAAACTTAGTTATAGGAATTTAGTCTTAATCATTTCTTCTATGATTTCATTCTAATTACTTCTCCAGAAGTTTTTAGTGGCGTCAATAGCTTTTTTGGACTCGTAATGACGGAGTTTTGTAGTTTCGCATTACTTTTTGTTGAACTTAGGATTATTATTATTAATTGGGAGAGATCTCATATTGGTAACTAAAGATCTATTGTGTCTTCATTATGGATTTAAAGTGTTTCTTTTAGTCAAATTTCTTCAATTTTCCGACTTTTCTTCATCATCCCATATGAGATGTCCATTTAAATTATTTTTCTAAACTTGCATTGTATAATATCAGATCAACGAATGATATCATATATCATACGAACGAGCATATGAACTAAACAGAACTGTCCTATTAAAATCGAAAAAAGTCGGATTGTATAGTCAATTACAGATTTGAAGCATAGATTACGAATAGTTTCCTATGATATAATGCTCTGCACGGCTATTGCACAGGGTTCGAAATTCACTAAAATATTTTGTGGAAACACAAACTTTCCACAACGGAATTAAAGATCATTTAGAATTGTTAATACCTACTTAGGGATTAACTTTAATACAGTAGAACATTAACATCGAGTAAACACATAGTTAGGTTCAGTTTCAATAGCAGCTTTGTACTACAAAGCCCACAATGCTAAAATAATGGCTCGTTGTTACACCGCAGATTAGGGCTGTTCATACGCAGACCACAGAGGCCTCCCAAAGGACCGTAGTGGTCAGTGTATTAATAACGCTGAAAGCACAACCCCTCCATTTAAGTGAAAAAACTTGATAAATCTATAAATTTTTACAATTCTACAATTTGACAGATCAGTGAGAACAGGGATCATGAAAATTTTTAATCTTCTATTGGCTAAAGATGTGCATTGACGAAGTAGACGAGTAGACGAAGTCTTCTAGCATGTTTTCCTAAAACTGAACAGTTCCATTTTAGTTGAAACAGCTGACTGGTACATTTCTTGTCCAGTTTAGACCACGTAGATTTTCGGACCTGGCAGATTGTTTTAGAAGTATATAAAAACAGAAAACTCTAAGCTGTTAAGCTATAGTGGCTTTTCAACATAAAATTCTCTTTAAGACTAGACTTTAAAGTTCTCCTAATAACAGCATGTTCTTATCAATTTGGTCTTATTGTATTCAATGTATGGCAATGCAAATTCTTCAAATTTATTATTTATATTCTGCAAAGGCTCAGTCAAATATATTAAGAGTAGACACTAAAGATGTTCAAGTAGCTGTTTAAATTAGAATTTTGGGCATAGGCACATTTAAAATTAGGCAGAAATACGTCCATAGAAAAAGGATACATCCACGTTAACTCTTTAGCTAGAAAACTTACTTTTACAAATAGTATATTTGCGACTAAAAAGATCGTACCGACGTGCCATTAGTCAAAACTAAACCTTTCTTATTACTGATAATTATTGTCGCTACTACTCTTTTCCTTGTTCCCTTTTACTGATGCCTGATCTGTCTGCAAGGATATATATAATCATTACACTACGTATTCATAGAGCATATATTTTTTATTTTTTCTAACTTAATTATATTTAACTAGACGACCTTAAAATATGGATTACTTGTTATAGTTAACTTGTAATTATGTTCATGTAATATAATTTTGTAATACGTATATATATGCCTGTAGCTGAAAAATTTAAATACTTAGTGTTAGTCTCTTAGTCTCATGTTTTTTCTCTGTTGTATTACATTTCCTGTATTTACTGAATTTTTCTATTAAAAACTAACAACAATTTATCAAATCATAAAGCTAGTATGTTATATTTTATTTTATGTACCACTGTAGTAGGTAATATTACATTATCACTAATAAGTCACAATGTAATAAGTAGCTTTTAAATATATTGTGACAGAAAAATTATTATGAGTCTACATCATAATATTATTAAGAACAATTATTGTTAGTCTCTAAGGGAGAAGATTCAATAAATAATTTTAATGTAAAAAAAAAAAAGATATACTTTGGAGACACGTTACTTCGAAATAAAGTTATTTTTACCAAAATTTATTTTTTTTATGCTTATATTTATTTGCTTCATTTTATAAATCGTAAACATCAATATTAAATAGTGCGCGTTATATATTAATCTCAATAATATTTTGTATTAATATTACGAATACATACATATATGAATACTCGTTATGTTAAGGTTAAAAGTAAATTTTAATTGAAACTGGAAGAACAGTTAGGCCAACATTTTAAAATTGCTTAAGCAAATGCGTAATATTACAACCTATCCTAGGTTTCAATACAATATTTGCTCATTTTTTGGTAAACTTTTAGTCATTAATGGGAATTTGTTAGTAGTATCTTTGTGTGAAATAACAAAACTGTATATAAAAACAAAAGTTCCTTGCTTTCTATTCATGATACACCACCAATGTTTTGACTGCTTTGGCAATAAAATACGCACACTCACGTACTTCTTTGCCACACTTTTCCGCAGCAGTTTTATCCTCCGAATCAAAAGATTTCTGAAGGTTCTCACATTCACGCTGGAGAAGCACATTGTAATGCGTTAAGCTCTTCAAGGTTTCATTTACAGTCGCACTGCAATTGGTCTGTAATAAGAGAGTTAATAAAAGTTAATGATTCATTTTTGAAAATAAGCAAGAATTCACTTACAGTTGTTGTAAAGATGGCCATAAGTTCCATGACAGCAGCATGTATACGTTCTGCGCAAGGTACAATCGCTTCTTTATTTGATGCATCTCGCATGGTAACAATTAATTCCTTTAGACAACGTGCGACTAAATCGGTGCGACGTTTAACCTCATCAGCGAAATTAGTCTGTGATTTATCTGCCTGCATTTGATACATACTCGTTGTAGTGCGACAGACCTCACCAGCTTTACCGGTTGCGTTTGTAAGTCGCCGCTCATACATGCTAGCAGGTCGTTTAATGGTCGATTGATTGGAACTCGTTGCCGAGGATGAAGAAGATGAATTTGAACCAACTACACTACTGTTTTCAAGCGGCAACGAGTGTGGTTCGGGGTGCTCATTTTCACTACCATTTAAATCAATGCGTCTATGGTACAGCAAAACATAATGGTGCATAGGAATTGCATTTGATTAAATAAAAAAAATCACAAAAAAAATAAAAATTTAAAATAAAAAATTACAAATCACAAATCGAAATATGTTTAAAATAGAAATAATATAACAAATGAATTAATATGTGATATTAATAATAATTGAAATAAAAAGGATAATTTAAATAAGCTCACAGTGGTTCATCGTAAACACTTGTTGCATTTTGCGGCACATTGGAAAATTTGGACTTTAAATGTGAATTTTCAGTTGAAAGCTTTTGTACTTCAGTCTTTAATTGATTTATTTCGGTAACATATTTATTAATTTGTTTCCGTAATGTTTCCATTTCTACTTGTGATTCTTGTGACGTATTCGGTGATGACTACGGAAAATAATAAAAAAATACAAATAAATAAATAAATAAAAAATAAACAAAATACAATTTTAAGAATAAAATAAAATTAAAATAAAGGAGTAAATATTAAATAGCAAATAAATATACTTTATAAATAATTAAACACTTTAAGAATTTTAGTCTTCTAAACTAAGCAATTTAAAAAAATTTTATAAAAAATAATAAATAATAACTGCAGAATTACAATTCTAAGCAAAAAAACGTTAAAACAAATTTTAATTTAATGTTAAAAATTTTATTATATTTGCTTATGCATTAAATAAAAATTTATCATTTACGACATACAACATACATAATAAAAAATGACCCGATTTATTATGAAAGCATGTTATTAAGATTATTAAGTCTTACACATAATTACAGTTGTCCCTATATATAATGAATCATAACATTACTTCTAATATTACAAAGATGCTTTTACTTTTGTATTATAACATTGTAAGTAATATATTTACTAGTGATTGACACAATAGATGGCGCTATTAATTTAAGTCTAATTAATATATAACAATTATATATCTGAATAAAAAGAAGAGTTAAAAATTACATTACTATTGAATAAAATTAATACAAAATAATCTTATATATACACACAATAAATCTTAAAAGCAAACTATATGTATCTATCTATATGGGTCCAACTATGAAGACGACTACCAAGTGGTCTTACTGCTATAGCTAAACAGTTTTTACTAAAATGTATATGTGTTATACCCATTCTTTGATACTTTCAAGTATTTGCCTTATATTAATGTACCAACTAACTTATACTTCTGATATTAACATGAGCCCACATCTAAAACTTTTGAAGAATACTTCTTAAGGTTTTTTGTTAAAGCTATTTGTCTTTTCTACAATTAGAAAAAAAATAAAAACATTTTGATTTTTTAAATTCAAATAAAATAAAAACTATCGACAATCTTCCGTTTGAATTTTTAAATCGATGCGATGCCAATTTTCCGGGTAGGTACATTTAACAAGCGTTTATAGTAGAGTCAGCTATTTCGAGAAACTTTTATTGCACTTCTTCTAATTTGGCACTACAGTCTAGAGTGAACCTTGGCCTCCCTAGAGGGTTGCATAGCGGTAAAATTTTTTTGATGTAAGGTTACTGGCCTTGTGATGAACCCCCAACCTGGAGGGTCAGATCTCCTTATTTGCTAATCTGGAGCTAGGATTGGTTTTTAGTAGTTAGAGAATTTCCGCTCAACTTTTTTCACGTTTTCAGGTTATACCGTTGCTATTCCTACGGTATATTGTGCGGATATAATTAACTTTACGACATATCGAGATTTGAAATTTTAAACGCTTCGACGGATCTATCAATGATATCTTGATATCATTTAAAATTTGTATTCTATAAGCAGCTTATAGATTTTGTAAGCTTAAGTTCTAAGATTGTGGGCCCATATCAGTATTAAGACTATAACTCTCTCAATTAACAGAGCCGTGATAGATCGCTTTTATAATAATTTTTTTAAACAAAAGTGATAATATTATTTTCATAAGAAAATTATTGCAAAAACTATAAAAAAATAGTAGCTATCGAATCTTTATCGAATTTGCGATAATGTATTGTTTTTACGATAATTTTTTTCCTTAATAAAATTACAATTTTGGATGGTAAAAATGCTAGAAAAATGTTAGCTATAGAATATTCATCGAATTTCCAATATTCTGATAATTGGAACTATCATTATTATAATAGTTTGCGATACAATATATTATTTTATAATAACTTTTTAGGTAAACAAAATGATAAAGATAAAATTTATCGCTAGTACGATATTAAAATAAGCTCATTTTAATTTTTAATTAAAAAATATATATCAAGCTTTTTACGTAGTGATATAATATTAATTTATTAAGATTAATATTAATAAAAATTTTAAAAATTCATTGAAAGTCGTTCTTTTCTTTTTTAATATTGCGTTATTAATTGTAATTGTAATTCACTATTTCAAGCAAAATAAAGTTTATTTAATCGTTAAATATTTAAAAATATTTGCTTATTTTTATTATTATTAGGGGATGTTGCTCTGCGACCATCAGGTCTATTGTGCCCCCTTCTAAGCTTAGAGTAGGTCTTTAAGCCATGTTGCGTCAATAAAATGTAGTATAGAACCTACTCAACAGAGTTTTATTGCCTCTTCCGTAAGAATATACATTCCTAGGAGCCTATTTCGTATGTGCAGTAGCGTAAGGCATTCTAACAGCACATGAAAATATTTGCTTACAAAATAAAATAAAAATTTATTATTTATGACACGTAATTAATTATCACAAATTTTGTAATCTTTTTGTGAAAAAAAAACTTATATACGATATTTTCGTGAAAAACATTATCACATATTCGATAAAATTCATTAGTTCTTAAGATTCAGTCGTTTTTCATAAAGAATCGATATCATTTTTGCGAGTTGGGTTAATTGTGTAGGTGTACGGACCCACATTTATTGAAGATTAATAGCAAATTATATATAATAAATTTTCACTCAAAATAAAAATATTATATACTAGAAATGCAATATCTTTACAACATTAACTTAAATTTAAAAAGCTTAATGTATATGCAATTAATATTAATAAAAAATTTTACATATGCTTTTTTATAATAACACATTTAGTATATTATTTCTTGACTAAATCTAAACTAGACCCACTTATAAATTATATTTATAATTTTATATTGGCATTTATCCAAAACTATTATTAAGTTTGAGTATTTTTTGATGCATATAATTTACCTGTTGCGCGATTGGTGGAACCGCTGCATAATCATCATCACTTGCAACTGGATCGTAAATGGGCTCATCATCCGACAAGTTGGGATCATGTTCACTGGTATTGAATGCTGTTGTCGTTTGTGGAGCATAACATACACTTGTGTTTGCCTCTAAAGGTCGAAGATTTGCCATATTTTGACGCCGACGCGCATCGACTAACACATCCGTTAGTAGTCCAGCAAATTCAGAACGACTAAATCGTGCTAATTTCTGACGGCCCTAAAAATAAACACAACAAACTCATAGTTAAAATAATTTTAAAAATAATTAAATGATTTACTTGATTGCGCGTTGCACTCAAAAATGGATTGGCTGGTAAAAATGGCACAGCAGCATTTTCTGCATTCATTGTTGATGTCGCCCAAACTAATTAAAATTTAAAAAAACAAAATTATTCATATACATAGGAAAGAGAAGTGTATTTTAAAATCTTAATTAAACACGTACTTGCTTCATTCTCACGTCGATCTACTTCATCGTACAAATCCATTACTAATTCTTCAAACATCTTATTTGGCACTAGTTGTAATTTTCCCCTGGCGATCTTTAACTGCTCACTTATATCTGCATTGCTTAACTCCGGTATAACGAGATGCCGACCAGACTAAAGACGAAACGACATTATTCCTTATATAACATATGTAGAACAACATTAATACATACCGCATGATCTGGTTTTTTCCCTCCCAGAAACATAATTATACGATCTGTTACATCGTACATAGCATCCAATAAACGCTCCGCTATTGTACTATGATTATTAGCTTTTGCGACCTCTAACGGCGCTAAGCCATTGCCATCTATTGCATTGATGTCTGCGCCGTATACGAGCAGTAATTCAATTTGTGATGCTTGTCCGAACTTGGCTGCTACATGTAATGGTGTTGAGCATTTTTCTTCGTGATAGAAATTGGGATCCGCACCC